CAGCATAGATTCTCTTTGAACACTTAATACTTGAACTACGGCAAATGGAAAATGCTAACTTTATTAGTTTAAACTGACATAGAAAACGGAGTCAAGACTTAAATATTAATGCACTACATGTATATAGGTAGATTGTAGAATGTCACTTTAGAAACATAATGTCGGCCGTTTGGTGTAGTGGTTCGAAACGGACTTCTATTCCGGAGGTAGCGGGTTCGATTCCCGCACAGTACAAACATTTGTGTGCATGAACATATCTGTTTGTATTGGACTGGGTGTTTTCTATGTATAATAAGTATGTATTTACAAAAAAAAGTATTTAAGTATGTTTATATCCGTTATCTAGTACCCATATTACAAGCTTTGCTTAGTTTGGGACTAGAAGCGCAGTGTAAAATGTCCAAGGATATTTATTTATTTATTTATAAGACATAAGTAGGTAAATTATGAACTACTACACTCCCTACGCTGCCCAAACGGGTTGGGGAGACCCGATGTTCGCATATTTCTTTCTGCCTTACGCCTCTTATGACATCCATGGGAGAAGTACTTGAAAACACACGGCTATTTAAAATTAATTTTCAGTCAGAGGATGTCCACTGCTGAAAATAGGCCTTCCCCAATGATTTCTATGTCGCCCGGTTGGTAGCGGCCTGCATCCAGCGCCTTCCTGCTACCTTTATGATATCGTCGGTCCATGTCGGGTGGACGTCTCACGCTGCGTTTTTCCGTACGTGGCCTCCACTCCAGAACCTTACTAAAATAGTACTCACTGCTTATTGAAAACACAATATTTCTAAGGAAGTTCCCTCGTCCTTCAAGCCAGGAAAACCACAGGCCATCGATCCTTCGATATTTTTAGCTCTATCAATACTATATCGATTGTGATAAACAGGAAGAACTAATTGAAAGCCAGTTTCATGGTGAGTACCAATTAAACAGTAGTAAACACGGCTTGTTGGTTGGATACCGGTCCGTCTGGAAGTCCTGATTCGATTCCGGGGTTGGAGCAGTAAAAACTTTTTTCAACTATAATAAATCGTATGTACGAGTATTATTGTCTCACAAAACTGGACCTGTGTGTTCACACGGCAGCGTCCCGTTTTGCAAATTTTTTTTTTTATTTATTAATTTATTTTATTTGGTACACAAAACAGAGCTACAACCTTATCATATGGAATTATGCAGGAACTTGATAATTATTAATAACTTTTGACTGCAGAATAAGTTTGACATACTGAATACATATTTACTGAGTAAATTACGTACGTCATTTAGCCAAGAACAAATAACATGCACAGATGCGCCACTCGATATATTTTCCACGCCCTGTCTCAGGGCTGTCACTTGTCATGTCAAATAAATAAACAGAATGACAGACACCACACACAAATTAGTGAGGGTGCTGAGACAGTTGGTTCCTTATCTTATCGGCTGAAGATAATGGTGGATGTGAACAAAACACATGCATCGTTAACAACTTGCTTGTTGAAAGGGGGGAATCCTTCAAACTAGTGTGAATTTTATTTAACAACAGAAGAAGACAAATTTAAATATTATTAAACTATAATTATAGGGTCATATTGTACCGTCTTTGGGTTATTACTGAGTAAAATAGTCAAGAACATATTTTGAAATGTGACGTGTGAAAAAATGAAAAATAGTCATTTATCAAAATCTCAGAAACTATAACACCTACTAACTTGAGATTTTGCAGGTAGGTTCCTTATAGGGTGTAGCCATCCGCTAAGAACGGATTTTACGAAACTCCACCCCTAAGAGGATAAAAGGGGTCCACGCGTACAACGCGTATAACGCATACAACAGTCACGGCACTTCACGGGCAATCGCTAGTAAATGTATAAACGTTTGGGATTTAACACCCCTGTCTTAGAGCGATATAATTGTTATAAATAATGTAAGGCCTCAGTTCCACAAGAATGTGTACTTAACGCTAATTGCTTCCAACGTGTATGTTTATATTATACAAATAAGGTCGAAAGTCCCGCGGCGTGTGCCTATCGATTTTTGCGAAGGTATTATTTATTTAAAAGGATGTAGTACCTACCTACCTGTGTAATTTATTCTTTGAAGTATCTAACAGTACGAGTATCTAACGCATTGCAATGTTTTCAATCGTAATATCATTTATAAAAGTTAGAAGAGTGAAAGAAGATGGTATTATTAACAACCACTTACAACAATGTAAAACATAGATAGCAATTTTGAAGAACCAGTATTACAAATGTTTGTATCTATCAAACGAAATTGACTTTAGGATTTGTATTATTAAGTTGTAGTTCAAAAAGTTACTCAGATATTCTGCTAGTTGTTAGTTCAATTAGCTAGAGATTGTCTGCTAGATTTTGTAAGCGAAACATGGCATAAAATTTCTACACCAATAAATAACACACGTTTAAAACAATCACCTAACAAACTCCCAATTTGTCGAACACATCCCCTCTTTAGTTAGGCAAGGTCCAATCAAATAGATTGATTCCCTACGGAGGTCAGAGTTATTGCCGTTCTGCGTATAATTTGATCTTTGCTAATTCACTGCTTGGGTCAGATGGATGGGCTGGCCTTTTCGATTTGTCTGCCATTATTTACTAATTGGGCAAACAATATATTTACAGGGAGTTTCTGGACAAGGTTCTCTAAGGGCCTACTGACCCTATCATTAATGACATCAATATTACTGTCATAATCATCATCATCATCATTTCAGCCACAGGACGTCCACTGCTGAACATAGGCCTCCCCCAATGCCTTCCACATCGCACGGTTGGTAGAGCGGCCTGCATCCAGCGCCTTCCTGCTACCTTTATCAGGTCGTCGGTCCACCTTGTGGGTGGACGTCCCAGTGTCGACTGTCATAATATGCTTGCAAATCGAACGCATAGAGTTGAATAGAGATCTGTGATTGGTTCGTGTGTCACCCTGTGCGTCCACGCGCACTGTGGGACCTTATAGTAATTTTTGTGAATACGGGCGTAAATCTCCTTACACAAAAAATTAGTCCCGGAGGATAAATTATTGTATTTAAGTAGTAATAAATCTACTACTTAGTGGAGCACTTAAGTCTTAATAGAGATAATATTATTAAGACTATTTAACTTAAATATTAATAATTTAAATGGCAGAGTGGAGTTAAGTGGATTATAAAAAACAGATTTTAACATTTTCAGTCAAAACAATATTGTAGATAAGAATTCTAGGAAAATGAGGTTTCTTCATGATACTATGGATTCGTCATTCGTCTTTATTTATTTTTCTTTATTCAGAAAACCACAGCTCTTTATAATAATAATACAAACCGGTATTTTTGTTCCTACAGCCAATAATGGATTCTATTTATATAGTGTGTGTGTGTGTGTGTGTGTGTGTTTTCATTTACCTACTTTTTTTTTATTAAAATTGTGGCACCTTATTATAGTTTAATTTATTGCTGACTGTACGTCACTGCTCACATCTAAACTAACAATACACGGAGCATCTGTCCAATCGTCCAGAGAATTCCCAAATGCCCCCGTCAATCTGGCAGCATCGCTGTCACATACAGGTCCGTGGGGACGGGGACGACTGGGAACGCTCGCTCAATACCGACTGATAAATTGGAAGTTTGTCAGTCTAATCAATCACGATTTATTATTATTTTGTTTCAAGGATGACAAACGTAGAAGGCAATAAAGCTGGCCTAAGGCTGAGTTGCACCACCAAACTTTAACCTTAACTATAACAATAACCGGTGCTTTTTGTGTGAAGTTTGATAGATTTTTGACGTTTGTTAAAGTTAAAGAAAGATGGTGTTACCCAGCCTAAATGAGGTATGAAAAAGTCTATGTTCAATATCTGTTCGATCGTACTTGTAATGTTTCAGTCTAAGATAAAGGCTGGCAGACAATAAATTAAACTACATAAATTAAGGGCGATAATAACCTAACGCCTTCAATGTGGGTCGGCCTACCAATATGTTAAATGTTAAAATTTATTGATGTCCGCTGGAGCAGGAAAGTTCTTGAATGGCGACCACTAGGTGGACCAACGATCTGGTGAAGGTCGCGGGAGGTGCCTGGATGCGAGCGGCGCAGGACCGGTCTTTGTGGAAATTCTAGGGGGAAGGCCTTTCTTTGTCCAGCAGTGGACGTCTTTCAGCTGAAACGAACGATTGCATGATATACTTATTTAACTTAGCTGGAAGGATTGATAGAAATATTAGTAGGTACATAATTTGAGCAAAAAAAATTATGCCCACTGAGAATAGATTTTTTAGCGCCCCCATTTTTTTGTAGTTGAGAGGCGAAAGTTCAGTCGGTGTTAAGAGTCCTCTTAACCGCTTGAGTCCCAGACGGCATTCATTAATGTCATAACAATTGATTATCTATTGTGTCTAGATTCGCGGGCCTTGAAGGATTAATAGATGAAATTACAAATAGCCTCTATACTCTATACACAACGCCCTTAATTAATTATTTTCTGGGCCTCTTACCGCCCCCTTTAGGCCTGCAGCGCCCACAAGGGGCCACTTTGGGAAAGGCTGCGTGCTTAGGCGTCCGGCTTTAGCCGGACATGTTTGGCTTTTTAGGGACTTGTCTGGCCTATCCGGCTTTTGTTAGGCTTTTTATTTGGTTGCCGCGTCAGGCGAAAGTCGAGCCACAGAATCATAGAAGCGCACGCATCAGGATGTTGGTTAGAAACAGATGATGATTGATTGCAACCCCCCCCCCCCGTCACATGTTCGGCTTTTAGGGTAAAATGTCCATAAGCAATCACAACGATCCCGGATGTTTGATTAGCAACAAAATAGGTAATTAAAAAGTTTGTTTCTCCCTCCATTTTGAATTTATTCGCGCGATTATATTTCGCTGTTAATTCGCTTTTCTTTTATCTTTGTCTTTGATCCAAAATAACAGCTATTACCTATCCCTGAACAAAATTTATGTCAATTTCGTGTAATCATTTTTAACCTGATTTAATTCTATTGTGATCATAGNGATCATAGACTATTTTACAAGTGACATTTACTTCTTCGACTGACAGTGCAAGGCTACGTTCAGAAACGTCACTCGGACTGACATATACGTCATTGTTGCCAGTATTAAAAAATATTCTACAACTACGTTTCGTTTCACGCAAACTTAATAAAATGGAGACACAATTCCAACTTTTGTTTGATAAAATGAAACTAGAAATGCAACAACAATCGGTGGAAATTACTGAATCCATTACAAATAACATAATGTCTAGATTGGAGGAAAAGTTAATCCCCATTATAGAAGAAAACAAAAGTTTGAAGTTAAAAATAGAAACTCAGGAGAAAGAGATAGAGTATTTAAAAAGAGAAAAAAGGAATAACAATATAATTATATTTGGCGTGGATGAAACAGAGAAAACAACATTAGAGTTAATGGATATGTTAAAGAAAACCTTCAAAAACGACATAAATATTGATATCGAAGACAATGCAATAAACAATTTATACCGACTAGGGAAGAAAAGTATAGAGGGTAACAAACCGAGGCCAGTCTTCTGTTCTTTCGTAAATGGATGGAAAAAGAATGAGATAATGAAAAATAAAAAACACCTTAAGAAGATTTATGTCACTGAAGACTACCCAAAGGAAATTCTGGCGAAAAGGAAGGCGTTACAGGCTGAGTTGATAGAAGAAAGGAAAAAAGGGAAAATAGCCTTTCTGAAATATGATAAGCTTGTAGTGAAGGAAACAATTAACGAAAAAAGAAAACGGGAAACTTCTTCTTCACTGCTCTCTTCAGACTTACAACCTAAAAAACAGCAAGCCACCGCATCCTTGGCTAATAGAACCAACGTTTTTGACGTGATGAGAATGAGATCCAACTCTCTTACTAACGCCCCTACAAACAAGCAACAGTAGCAACTAAATCTCGGCAATCGGAAACTACAACAAAACAAAGAAACAAAAATACAGTCAAACGGAAAATTACACCTTCCCCCAAGCCGACTGGTCATCGTGGGGGAAAAAGACCAACACCCTCTAAGGATAGACAAACAAAAAAGTAATAATAATATCGGCGACATACACATAGCGACGCTTAATACACGATCGCTAAGAACCCCAGAGAAACTCATCGAAC